AGAGAGAGAGAGAGAGAGGTGCAGCCAAAGATCTGAGGAGTCTGAGGGAGGAGAGACTGCTGGAAGCTAGCCAGGGCAAGAAGGGTAAAGGGGGCTCTGAGGAAGCTGTGGCTACCACAGATACAAATCCCCTTCCATTCCTACCGGACTTTAAACCTGCTGGTGCCCACTGTGAAGAAGTGAGACGTTGAGCTTGTAAACACCTCGGCACTCTCACTATCTACAGTAAAAGACAGTTCTGAAAATGCAGATTCCTCCATCAAACGACCTTGTGAATTGTCAATAGCCAGCTTCCTTTGACATAATCATCATTTGAATGGGACAGTGCTACAAAGAGAGAGGTTTTAAAGAAATGGAAATGAAACTAGAAGCCGACCCAGGTTGGAAATAAACGAAATTCTAAGAAACTTATAAAACTCCAGCTACCCTGTAAGGCTGAAGTTACTGATGGAATGCATTTCAAATTGTGATCAGCAGTTCTTTTCAGGGCATTAAGCTTTCTTCTTCAAAACCCAAATGTGTCCAACTAAAAACTAGTTCCAATTAAAACTGGCCCCCTGCTCCTGCAAGCTATCTGTTCCATTTGCTAATAATTATTCCCTGAAAATGAACACATCGCCATTAATTACAGGAAGCCCAGTCTTTGGCTAAGAAGAAATCCTTCCCAAGGCAGGAGGCAGTGAGTGCTCCAGATCCAAGGAGAGGGAGATCCAAGTACTCAGTAGATCTAAAGCCAATCTCAGGGGCCTTTGGGCCAGATCCACAGGGAGCCAGTGAGAAGAAAGGTGGGGAACAAATGGTAGCAGAGAGCCAAGAGGAAAAGGAAATGGAGGGAGAAGTGGAGGAAGGGCGAAGACAAAGAGTGAGCCTTGCAAAGGGAGGCACGGGCCAGCATGGCTACCTCGAAACCCGGATGCTGAAGACAAGTCTCATCTCCTCCCCTGACAACACTGTGCCACACTTCATACGGAGATTTTAGTAAAGCGTCTGAATCGTTCACATCATGTTCCTGAAAAGGCAGACAGGGATGGGGTCCATGGCAACAGTCAACTGGATTAGGAACTTGTCACATGACCAGACTCAAGGAACAGTCATATGGGTCCATGTCAATCTTTTAGATTATTAGGAGAGAGCCCCCAAACTCCGCCATTGGGTCCTATGCTGACATAACATTTATAATAATGGCGTGGGTGTGTGAGGATGCTTGTCTAATTTACAGGCTGACTTAGCTAACACATTGAACATCGAGATCCCAAAAGAGCGACGGTCTAGAGAAGGGTTTCTGAAGAGTTCCTGGCTCATGGATCCCTTTGGGTGTCTGGTGAAACCTGTAGACCAACTCAGATTGTATTCAACTGTCTGAGAATCAGAATGTTCTTAAATGCATCAAGTGAAAGAGGGAAGTAATTATATTCATATGCACTTGTCAAAATATTTTTTTACAGTGCCCAGACTCCAGGCTAAGAGCCCCTGTGCTACACCAACAAGCCAGATCTAACCTATTATTTAAAAGAGATAAACGAATGACAACACACTTTGGTTCAAAAAATCAGCTTCAAAAGTAAAGGATGAAGGAGGTATTGCTGTATCACAGTACCTTTGGAAAAAGAACTGAGGTTTAGTGGACTTCCAATTCAATCCGCGTCACTCATCAGTGTGACGGGGTGGCCAAAAGCTACTTTGGTCCCAGACAACAAGGAGGTGACCATAGAGCATAGAATACCAGTCTTGAGGCCAGTAAGAATCAAGTTCAAACCCTGCCTCAGACACTTATAAGCTAAGTTACCCTAGGCAAATCCCTTAACCTGTCTAAGCCTCAGTTTCCTCATCTGTAAAATGGAGATAATAACAGCACCTCCCTCCCAGGGCTGCCATGAGGATTAGATGAGATAATAATTGCAAAGCACTTTTACAGAAATATAGCTATGGGCAATAAGACATTATGTCCAGGAAAAGGGAGGTGACAGTCACATTCTACTCTGCCCCAGTCAGATTAGATCTGAAACGCTTGGTGACTCGATGCAGGACCGAGCTCCACCAGGAGAGAACAAAGGATGATGAGACTGAGGAAGAGAAGGCTGAGGGCACAAACAAGAGTAGAAAGATCATTAGTTTAAATTTTGAAATATCAATAAAAGAAGGAACTTTAAATGTTTAAGCCACTGCATATTTCATCGGCTCAGAAACATCATGTTTAAACTGACACCCTATTTAAATAGAATTATGTGGGGAAGAAACAGTAGTTGAAGAAAATGTGAAACCACTTTGATTTTCGGAAACTGAAATGCTAAAATTAATGGAAGGTAACACTCACATTTAACTCTATTATCCACAGCAGAGTAACAAACAAGAGGTCAAAGGTGACAAACAAACAGAAAGTCCTTCTGACGTCAGAGATGCCTTTCTTCTCCCGCCCTTCGTAGGACTCGATCCTCGCCATCAGTTGGGTGGGGTTGATGGAATGGACGTTGAGCAGAGATGCGTGGGAGCCCTGACTTCCGCTGAGGGCATTTTCCAGATCATCTGGCAGATGATTCATCCTGGTGGTGGTTTAAAGGAACTTTTTCCCAGCTTCACCATCACTAGCATTCAGGAATGATCTTTAGAGTAAAAGAAATGGAAACACAAAGTAAGTTTTCTTGAAGTACTTTGTCAAACTGCCTTTCACTGTGTGGCCATTTCCAAAATCTGGTGACAGGGAACCTTGGGGAAGGAGGTCTACTAACAAGACACAACACAAAGGCCTCGCTTTGAAATTAAAGGCCGGGACAAAGGCTTGATGCAACAGAAAATGGAAAGGGAAGAACTTCTGATTTTTGTTTTCTTATTTACTCAAATATCATTATAATATGTTGTCAAAAAAGAAACATGAAACTGTAAAAAAAAAAAAAGAAAAGAGACCATGTAGGCTATGAACAGCATCCCATAATTTTATGGTAAATAGGACACTTCCTGGTGTGAGAATTACATCTACCAATGACATGGTCTGGGCAGCGAGACACCCTGGCCCACAGAACTTCTAAATACATTGGAGGCGTGTCATACTCATATTTAACTTATGAACCAATTCAACTCCATCCATGGGGAAGGGGGAGGGAGAAAAAAAAATAAGTTAAGTAGATCCGACTTTTAAAAAGATTCCAAGCCCTTTCCAACTGCAACTACTTAAAGATACTTTCTGGGTGATTTTAGGGGATTGGTGAGGGTCTTTGGTACTGTGGATTCTACCTTACGGCCTAACTTTACAGTCCAATTCCCCAGTAAGAAGCTCCCCCACCATAACCCTAGGGAAAGGCAGACTCAAAGCATTCAGCACAAGCTACAGAGAAATGGCCCCAGACTCCTCCACTCTGGCCCCACTGATTCAGGCAGACACAGTGCTGTGGTGGAAGAGGCATTAAGCAAAGTCAAGAAAGAAGAAATGAAGGAAACAGACGTTTACTAAGCACTTGCTCTGTGTCAGATGCTGTGCTATGCATCTGACCAAAATTATCTCATTTGAGCCTTGTAACAAGCCTGGGAAGTAGGTGCTATTATTATCCCCATTTTATAGTTAAAGAAACTGAGGCAGATTTGCCCAAGGTCACACAATAAGTGTCTGAGGCTGGATTTGAACTCAGGTCTTCCTGACTCTAGGCCCAGTGCTCTGTGCAGTATAACACCCCAAAGCTAGTTCCGGTATGTGATATTGAACAAATCCTTTAACCTCCCTGGGCCTGTGAACTCATAACATTCTATAAGTTAAATTCCATGACATAAGGCTGACTTTTTGTGGCAACAAAGAACTGAAAATAAAGTAGGTCAATACTTTACTAGGGGAGAAATTGTAGTAAATGAATAGAATAGATTATTACTGCACTCTAAGAAATGACATTTAGGAAGAATTCGGAGAACCCAGGAAGATTTACACGAATTGATTCAGAATAAAGTAAGCAGACCACCCCCGCCAAAAAAATAAACATTATAACAAAGCAAAGTAAAAGAACAAAAGTAAGCTGAATGCTATATAATCGTACCAGCAACTTAAGGAGGGGCAGCTAGGTGGCGCAGTTTATAGAGCACCGGCTCTGGAGTCAGGAGGACCTGAGTTCAAATCTAGCCTCAGACACTTGACACTTACTAGCTGTGTGACCCTGGGCAAGTTACTTAACCCCATTGCCTAGTCGGGGGTGGGGAAGAAAGAAAAGAAATCCTAAGGGAATGCACCTTATTTATGGAGATATGAGCACTATGAGTGTGAAATATTGAAGGTACATGTTATAAGACATGGTTAATTTAGTGGTGGGTTTTGCGGAATTACTTTTTTTCCCCTCTTTCTTTTTTGTTCTTTGTTATGAGGCTAGTTTGCTGGATGGTTTGGCTGGGTGGAGGCCTATTGCACACATAAAGTCTAGGGGATTCGAGGCAGAGATACCCTAGTAAAATAGTATTTTCCCTTCCTCTACAAAAGTCTGGTTTCCCAGACAAGTAGAACTCTCCCATCAAAAGAACCAATTGGATTTGTTCTGATTTACAAACAAGTCTTGACTTTAGCTCTTTCTCTGATCCCCCCCACCAATATCTGCATCAGCAAAGACTGACCACACCTGGGAGCAAAAAAGACACCTGTCCCAGGTACATCATAATGTTCAGCGAGCTCTCAGATAACTCCAGGCAAAGACAACTAGACAATGATCAGGTCATAAGCCCCGAATTTCTGATCAGACCAATGAGATGTACATGCTCAGTGATGGGCTCCACTACATAGACAAAGGAAAGTCACTGGGTAGGCAATCATTTGGAGAAAGCCATTTACTCAGAATGAAAAAGAAATGCTGCTTGTTTATCAATCCAAAGCATCAACAGGGGTTTTCTACCACAACAGGACACGCCAGAAAAAAAGCATGCAGGGGGAGTCATTACTCCCCCGTCCTAGTTTTAAGTGTGCTTGAGACGTAATGCAATCAACTAAGTGCCTCCAAAGACGGTTTAGGTTTGCTACGTTAACTCTCCTTTGCTATGCCAGAGGACTTCCTGACGGCGATCACGCAGGACTGACTAGGGTTGGCCTCCTCTCCTCAGATAAGCAGCAGCTTGGAGTTCCTCTAGAACCTGGATTCGAATGGAGATGGAGTTCAGAGAGCTCCATGCCTTGGTTACCAAAAACGACACCAAGAGTCTCTACCTATTATCTACTCCCTCCACTAGCAGCCAGCAAGAACGTGCCAGGGCAAGAAAGGGATGGAAGACACCTGGGCTCAGAGGGCGTGGGGCATGGGAAACCTCCTACCTGCTCTGAAAAAGAAAGCTCCTTTCTGATTGACCGGTATCATGACCACGGTTCATGTGTGGTATGTTTTCTCATAAGAACCCATAACTAGAAATACTCTATCTTTAATGGAATTATCTTGAAGAAGGGTAACCACTCCAATAACAATAGCTAACATTTATGCAGATGCTGCGCTAAGCGCTTTACAATTACTACCTCATTTGATCCTCATAATAACCCTGCACGGTTGGTACTATTCTTATCCCCATTCTACAGATGAGGAAACAGAGGCAAACAGAGAGGTGAAGTGACTTACCCAGGATCACACAGTTAGTAAGCTAAGGGTCTGAGGCTTGATTTGAACTTTCTGACTCCAGGCTCTATGTTCTACCTACCTTGTCTCCAAGCTACACAAGGGAAAGTGAATGTAGGAGGTTAATAAAAGCACCTTGAAATGAATATATCACTAATGAAAAAGATGGTTTTTGTTGGTTTTTTACTTTTGCCACAATCACATCGTTACCAGTTTATTTACTGTGAATGTTTCTGTGACTCAGCACCTCTGGGCTCTAGGTCAGTTCTGTGAAATGTTTGCTAGAACTTACCCCTCAAGAAACCTCTCTGATGAACGGAAGCAACCCTGCCCCCCCCATTCTCTTTTACTTTATTTCTGCCAGTCAAACTTCTGTTTGTACTCACCAATAATTTAAGGCATATTTGGTAAACAGAAGTATTAACAAAAGTCAGTCAATCCCTCCTGCCAGAGAATGAAGATGATAAGGCACTGCAATTCTCGTGTAGGCTGGGACTGCCAAGAACTGGACGAGGGACTGCATCTTCCAGCCAAGATATTATTACAATTGCTAATCTCTTTCCTGGGGGAATTTTTTTCAAGAGGAAGCCGTTTTGTTTCATTTGCTGAGACAAAGTAATCTTTGTTTCGGGGCCATCAGGATGGTGTTTTTTGCAAAAGTTTCCATGGATGATTGCTACTAATGTTCTCTCTTTAAAATGTCTTGTCAGCTTGGAAACTCCAAAGGCCTTCCATGGCAAGTTTGGGAAGTAGGAGGAAAAAATACCCGTGTATACTGGATAACGTGGTTTACCCTGCCCCTACGTGGGGGTCTTGGGCAAATCACCTCAACTCTCTGGACCTTCTGCTCCCTTCTCTGGCATATGAGGAGGCTGACCAAGAGGGCCCTGAATATCCCTTTCAGCTCTGTATCTCTGCTTCCAAGAGTAATGTTTCACCATTTCAAGCGGATGCAGCAATCTCATTCCACTCCTACCTAGGAGCCGTAGTTAAAACAAACAAAGCCCAGCTAGCCGGGAGGGGGTCAGCGTAGGAGTACTTAGTCACATATATCTGTGCATCCTCCCAAGTATAAAAACGTTTAGAAATGATTTCTACATAAATGTGTGTGCATATCCACAGGACTGCTAAGCTGCCTCTCCTCTCGGCTTTAGGAGGAACAAGGTCCTGCCTATAACTGATCCCAGAAATGCCATTCGTGGCGTCTGCCCTCCCCCTCTGCCACACAGGTAATAAACAATGATGGCAATAAGGTCATCAGTTTTCATTGTCAGTATCCGTAAATTAAAGGTATCATTTTGAAGCGCATGAGAAATCAGAAGAGAGCATAAAAGGTACAGCTCAATGAAAGGGTTGACTTCGATTCTTCGCCCAACACACAGAGCTAAAACAAAAATCACAGCTAGTTATAGCCTGTGATGTTCTGGGCCTCAGAAAGCTGTCTCTAACACGTGGCTACATTAAGGCCAGCATATAAGCAGAAACCTTCACTCAGTCTTAGAAAGAGCACAGGGCTGGGAGGGTCCCCTCTACCGATATTCATCTGAGCTCAGAGCCTCTAAGGAAGTTGCTTAGCCTCTAGACCTCAGTTTCCTCCTCTGTGAAAGAGGGTGAGAGGCCGAACTAGAAGATATCCAAGGTTTCTCTCATCTCTGAGTCTATCATCCTTTAGAATAAGGGGGCCTGAGAGGCCATCTAAGGCAGAATTTACAGAGGAGGAAACTGAGGCCTTGAGAGGAAAGACCCCACAGGTCATAAGTGACAAGGGTGGGGTTTGAACCCAGTTTCTCTGCCTCCACAGACAGGGCTCTTTTCCCAAAATTGTCTGTTAGTCAGTGAAAATACTCAAATGTCGTTCACAAGACAATAAAGAAATGTCATAGCTCTGAGACTTAACTAGCAACAAAAGAAAATCACTGTGCATGGGAACAAACATTTTTATTTAGCAATTCATGCTCCACCATGACACACAGGTGGACTTGCTGAATTAAAACAACATAAACACAAATTTTTGATATAAAACCATCATTCTGTATTAG